GGGGGTGAACTCATCAAGTAACTACAGATATAAGCTAGATAAGCTAGTTTTTGTACATCGGGAAGATGTGTATAGATAATGGCGCGGAATAGGAAAGCATGGCAGTTAGCTCATTATTACGCTCGTATTGTTGAAGAGTGAATTAATCGCTGCTTTGGTATATCAAATAAGAGACAATATTGCCACAGCAAATATGCATATACTTGATGATAAGTTGTCGGAGAGACCATTGATGTAGATGAGGAAAAGAAGGGGACCAAGAGCACTTGCTTCCTTAACACCGGAGGAAACGTAACAAAGTGATCAAGAGTGATTGTTTGCGATAGTGAATGGCTGCTAGTTTGTTAGGAAGTTACGAAGCCATGTTGGCTCAAGTGAATCTTGCTTAAGCGATGATAGTTTTAAAATCAAGCGACAATGAGCAACACAATCAAAGGCCTCTGGAAATTCAAGAAATATACGACTTGTCTTCATACTGCTGTTCATGTCAGTGTGTAAGTCGGTGGTGAATTCAAAGATTTCAGCCATGCAAGAAAGACTCTTTAGGAGCTCGCGCACGAGTGTTAATAAAAGAACCTATATTGTGCTCAAGCATCTTGCAACACATGGACATGAAGGACAATAGACGATGATTTCCCGGTGAACTTGCAGTGTAATTTTTATGTCTAGTATTGCATTCGCTATCTTCCAGTCAAAGACAACATCTTGTAGTTATCAAGTGCCGAAAAATCCGGAATAGAATGGTACTAGAGACAGAACTAACTATCCTCTAGTGATAAGGTAACATCGTGTAGTTAACAAGTGCCGATAATTGCGGAATGGCATGGTACTAGGTACAGATCTAGCGCTTTTAAAATTTTATAAATAATGTCAATATTACAGAAGGTGATGACATTTTATGCTTTTGTATGATTTCAGATATACGCTTTTCGAGATTCATATTTTTTCCGTCTTGCAAACTCTACTAATAACTCTCCTCTGGCATTTCTAGAACCGCTGCATTATTCCTCCACTGCAAGGTCTCTAGTCTGATTATTCGCAACTTTAGCACTCAGGTCGCCCATCAGTATAATACACAGTTTTTTTATTAATTGCTGACTCTGCATCTTCGTAGAAGCTTTTAACTAAATGGTCATCATGGCTTAATGTAGGTGGTAAGGCCTATACCACCTTTATCTTGTACTTTTTTTAACTTAATTATGATACCTAATAACGACACTCTCACTGATGCTCTATGTATTCCTCTATATTGGCAGTGGTATTCTTGTGTTTGAAAAGACCCACCTGTAATATAATACCGATGGGTGCCAAGCATAAGTAATCAAGCTTGAGAAGTTCGGTAAGATGGCCGTGTTCGTGAGTAAGCAAAGATTAAAGTAGGTTCAGTGAGTACGAACACTCAGTGTATATAGGCAAAAAGAGTGTTATTGCCATCGTGCAATGAATGGAATTAATGGCCGAAATAAGGGCCTAATACCTTCCTAAACTTCTTCAGATTAGGCTTTAGGAGTGAGGGTAAATACTTGGACTAATTTTGTAGTACCTTTCCCTAGAAGTCTGTGAACGTGAATTTTTCGCTGACCTATAGAGCCGCCTCTTTTTGGTTTCAAGTTTGTGCAAGGACATTTAGTACCATGGATTAGTCTTATCGTTCATAATCGTTATCAAAGGCACATGTTTTACTATTAGTGCCGAGAAGCTATTCTTGAAAAGAAACCGAGTTTCTCCTACAGTGCGAAGGTAAAAAGAAGTTAGTAGCAGTAGTGATGCAGAACTATCGGAGAATGAATTGTCGGTAGCGTGAACAGTTTCCTTGAAACAACAGATAGTGTAAGGACGCTATCGAAAGTACTAGTATTCATAAACTACCGATAGTATTACGAATGGTGCAATCGATAGTACCATTTGCAGCATTATTCTTGGTGTACTGTTAATAATGCTGTGAATACTAATGCCTTTCTTCGCCAGTGACATTGCCAAACTGTTTAAGATGAACTATTATCAGCTATACTTAGCTCGCTTATGAGGTACATTTCAGTGAAAAAAAATTCCTTCCGCAGCGAAAACGCCAGATCATATCTATCTAAACTATTCATGAACAAACAATCGGCTACATCTCAAGAATAACACACTAAGTTCTTATTTATTATGTCTACATTGGCACGCAAAACCCCAATAATTACCCCTTAACATATTGCTTTAAAATTACCAAATGAAGTTGAAATTTCCGTCCACGCAGTTCCGACATATTTATTAATTTTCTTTTCCTTTTTGCCTTGAACAGGTTAACTAATTATGATGTGTCAGCGAAGCATTCTGGGGAAAGAACACGACTACGTTACATTTTTTGCCCTTCAGACTGCTCCTCCTTCTGGATCATTCACCACGCACTCGAGGAACGATGCTAATTAGGCAATGAGAGCACGCAGTTGAATTTTTTGCTATCGACACTGTATTCTCAAACGCAGCATTGATAGCACTATCGATAGTCACTGAACTGTCAATAATGTCGATAGTGCAACCGATAGTTTTTCATAACTAAGTAGCACGCTGTCGAAAAAAGATGCAAGTTTCTTCCTAGTGGCATCCTAGTTGACATTATTATAGCGTCTGATTTTCTTTGATTTGAATCCTGCAAAAGGCTTCTGGATAGCATAGCAATTAGTGGTCACTAAATGCCCTAAAACACTCTGTGTGGCCAATTGTCTCTCACGCAAAAGGCCTTATACTAATGACCTATTGATCTTCTGTTAAAGTACTTCTCACAGTTTAAGAAAAAATGGAACAGTCGCACTGAAGAGAAATTGGAGCACAGTGCAATGAATAGATCGCGATTTCGTACGGGGAATCAGGGTACAACGGGCCCAACAGTTTGCCCCTATTAAAGTTACACCCTTGAAGCACTGTTGCGAGTGTGCCACTTTTAACTTCAGGCAAGTAAAAAATGACAGTTTCTTTTTTTCTTTTATTAAATGCCCTACATGATCAAAAATGAATGTGGAGTGTCCCATTACACCTTGTCTCATATTATCATGCTTATTAAGGCGCTTTATATACAGAATTTTCGGGTTTTCATCCCTGAAATGACCGTTTGGAGCGGCTACTTTTATCGGCCGTGTGCTCATTTCAAGACTTACGACGCGTTCCGACGCATATTCACGCAGGTTAATAATAAGTCTCATTTTAAGGGCTCGTTTTCTTCATTAGACCGAATATTGTCTCTCACAAGCTCTCTTCAATGTTTATGCATGTGGTGTGTTAAAATTATTTGCGTGAAAGAAAAGTGACTGTCGCTGAAGTTCAGTGAGCTAGGACACCGAGGCTGCCCCCGTACAACCAAAGCGATTGCATTGTTGGCATGCCTTCTCATGCACAGACGCGTCTCTTGCGGCGACGGTTGGCTCAGCGCGAAATTGAGGCCGCAGTTTCGTGGCGAAAGACGTATTAGAGGACCCTGACAATGCACGACCCAGTGGCCTGTGCAACAGCCGATCAAGCTTTTTTTTTTTTGGTTGGGGGGGGGGGGGGGAGTAGACTGTATTCTTGTAGTCTGCACGAGTTCTAGTTCCTAACAGAATGTACAGCTACAGCTTATCGGGAGAACTGGCTAACCTCCCTGTCCTTCCTCTTTCAATCCCCTACAACTTATCGAGCTTAGCTGGATAGCAGGCTTACCGGGATAGCGGAATGAAAGAGTGCATGCGCAGTAACGTACGTGAACCGTACCGTTCGCCGTAAGCCCCCTATTTTTCAGGTTTAACGTTACCGAGTTTGCGTGGCTTAAGCAGTGCGGGTAAAACATGGCGATGGTTACAGCCGGCCGCTATGATGTGATTTTTGCATAGTTGTTGAAAAACTCACTTCGTTTGCAGCAAACGACTCTTATTTGCGTATGAAGCTACTCGGCAGTGAAATGGGACAAGCCGGAGTAACCTTCTGTGGTATTGCTTCGCGACACATCTCGGACACGAGAAGTACATCGGTGTCTTGCCTAGGATTTTAACGAAAGACGTCCTCCCTATTCGGCTACAGAAAGGTAAGCTGCAGAAAACATCGTAAGTAGATATCACGACGTGCGCTATTTCATGTCGACTATACAATGAGTCGAGAAGGCAAAGACACAAAAAGAATCACAGAGCATTGACTCTCAATTGAGTCTATTTCAAGGAACATTGGAGCAGGCAAAATGACTCGACAGCCCACGGTCTCATGTTACGTGAAGCATTCCGTTGGAAGCTGTCTCTACATGTCGCATATGTCACAGCACCCATGCGCGTAATATGCCATGCATGAACCTCGCACAAGGTACTTGCTGCTAATTGCATGCTAATTGTGTCATGGCTTATACGCGCATACGCTATGTTTGCGATATCATGTTGCGCTTAATGTTTATGACAGTATTCTTGTTGCATGTCAAATGTCGTGGCAGGCGTTTCATGTGAAAATGTCTAAATTTGTTCAACCAAGCATACAGGCACCATAACATCGAAATCGTGACAACATACATGTACGCATAATGTACGCGTCTCGACTTGCAAATTTTATTACGCCGGGCACGAATATTCACGCGTTGTATTTCAGTTTTAAAAACCACCACGACTGAATTTTAAAATTTTTAACATACGAGTATGAATGCCAAGAGTTGTTCGTATCATGCGTGTACATTCTTTTGGCTAAGTTAACAGACGATCACAACGACATCGTGTGATTTATGAAATATTTGCCTAGGTGCGTGTGTCATGCCATTCAGGTTATACCGTACTCATTTCAATACCTCAGTTTAAAAAATACTGAAAAGTCATCTTGCAATTAACGCCATTCCTGCCATCACGTGTCATTCATGCTCGTTATGCACGTGTGTCATGCCTGCACAGACTTTCTACTTTCTTCTCATTGTACAAAAGCGGCGATCGTAGTGGCTTCTTGTCTGGGAACGTGCAGCCAGTATACAGCGGCGGGAATGTGAGCTCAATGGTCCAGAACGACGAAGAGGCATTAACTATTATAAGAAGATTTTTATTTACATCTTCATCAGTACTTAGGAGATAAATTCGCGAGTCATGAGGTATGATTCACCACGAAGATTGCGATAGTTGATGCATCAAGCCAGCATTAGTGCTAATACGATGCTTGCGAAGAGAATATTCAAGCTAAATTTAAGACACGAACCATACATACTGATCTCGATTGAAAGCGTCCGCTCCTAGTTATGCGCAAATCTTCGAGTTGTGGTTGTGAAGCTGGCACTGTGTTGGGCCTGTCTGAGTGTGTAAGTGATGAAACCGTATAGCTCGTCCTTAGTGGTGTGTAAAATGTGGCGTTCATTACAGCGACCTAATTAGCGACTATTAAGACTACAATAAGACTAGTAACATGCATTCCTCTATTACAGCTACGGCAATCACATCTTCCTCCACCTGAGCTCGTAACGCGAGACATGTTCTTGTTCCTTTCTTCTCTGTCCTCTCCTTTCTGTTATTCCCCCACACTAAGTATAGGGTAGGAAGCCGAGCCAAAGCTTGGTTAATCTCCCCGCTTTGCACCTCCCCCCCCCTCTCTCTCTCTGTCTTGTTCTTCACCGGGCAAGCCAGTGGCGGGTTAGGTATGGTTATCAGGAGGACCCTCATGCCATCACTGGCTTACGCCTCATCAAACGGCCGCCGCTGTCTAGCCGCTGCTTCCGTTGAACTCGAAGTCCGTCGACGAACACGCTTGTGATTCGTCACGCTTAAGAGCGGAAGTCCCACGTTTCGTTTTGAGTCGGCATGGAAACCTCCTGGCTGTAAGACAGACCTGCGATAGAGATGTTGATGGCGTACATAACATATTTCATATGTGTGAACTCGAAAATTGATTGCCATTCACGAGAGATCCGAACTGAACTATTTGTCCTCCTTCTTTTCTTGTGCCACAATAAGTTATTCTCGACGACATATTATTAGAATGGTGAGCTGGGCTAGATGATGCGTATTACCGCAATAATAACTACTTAGTGTTGAAGTATCTTGCATCAGTCAGCCCATTAGTGCTGTTACTCCCAGGTTTTTCAGGCTGGTTTGACCGTTTGCGAATTTTAGCAAAAGTTCGTGCAGCCTAACGGAACTTCTCACTGAGCCACTTTACTTACACTAACGTTTTTTTCCTTGCGTACAACTCTTGCACCACTAAAGCCCACTAATCATCACCAAGAATAGCATCGCCAGATTATCTCGGGGTGTACTATTCTAACATGGTCGTGTCTTGCATAGAACTATTTATGCCAAAGCGTCTTAAAAATAATAAAAGCCCTTTGACAACAAGTAAAATGGAATTAAAACGAGAACTATAATTATAAATATAAAAGTTATAAATATAAAAATAATCCTGGTGCTCAGAACGAGCCAATCAACGTCTTGGTAAGGATATTAAAATACTTGTGAAAGAATGCGGAGAAAGTTTTTTTGGCATCCGTGCCAATTATTTTTAAGGGAGGCCCTTGATAAGTTTTTAATATATGTCAATCAATCGATGAAAGCTCACCCATTGACTCAGGCCTACGGAGGGTCCTACAGCTTTGCGAACTTTTTCTGAACTTTTGCTAAATTTCTGAACTCTTTGGTAAATTTTAACATAAAAAAACCCCCCGCCCGATGACATTCCTAAAGAAATTATATGCCGACAGTCTCAATGGAACTAGAGATGCCAAACATAAGTGTCTAGATCCTCGTTTCTCTGTTAATCCTGGTCCAAATAGTGGAAGAAAGTCATAATACTTATGTAGATTTAACAGTGCAAAAACCACTATATGATTATGAGAGACGCCGTAGTGGAGGACTCCGGAAATTTGGACCACCTGGGCTTGTTTAACGTGCATCTAAGACTAAGCAAATGGGCCTCACGCATTTTCGCCTCCATCAAAAATGCAGGTCGCCATGGTCGGGATTTGATCCCACGAATTCCCAGAACCAGAACCGACAATGTAGTAAACTATCAGCCTGTTTCGATTTCTGGTACTTGTTCAAAGCTGCTTGAACATTTTCGAAACATCTGGACATCAGAAAGCTTTCGATAAAGTGTCTCACTGTAAACTACTAAGAAAAATTCATGTTATGTTCATAAGTATTACCATTACAAGCGAAGTACCTCACAGTTCTGAATCCACTTTTGTTCCTTTTATTTATAAGTGATCTCCCGAATGAAATAGACATTTTCGTCATACTCCTAGCGGATGATTGCATGATGTGCAATAAGAAAGGCACAGTTGCTGACCACGTAAAATTGCACGAGAATTTACACAAAAAAGTAAAGACGTTGTATGCAGAATGGCAAACGGCGCTAAATCCGCTGAAAATTATAGATATTACAGTCTCTAGAAAGAAAAATTAGGGAAATTATACTTTCTGTATCAATATTCATTAACCTAGAAAATTGAGCAACGTAAATACCTTGGTCTGATTTTAACAATCGATCATCGCTGGAATCATAACATAGTTCGTAACAAGTATACCTCTGGTTCCTATTGTGCCATTTGCCACTTTCAACAAAAGAAACAAAATACTTAGCCCACGAAACGCTTATTACACTAATAATAGAATATTCAAAAATTGTCTTGAATCATTTCTGTGTTACACACGTCTCGAAAATTGAGAAAAATTGAGCGTCTAGCAATCACCTTAATACTCAATAAATATGAGTGAACGCATTGGTCATCTCAACTGTGTGTACTTGCAGAGCTACCATCTATTGAGGCTGGAGCTGAGTAGAAAAGTACCGAAATATATATACCTGATGCATAATCAGGTAAAAATATGTATCTTTGTCGTGAAACTTGTAGACATCGCCATTCAAAGTCCATTGCTGCTTCTGCTGTTTACACTGATTGCTGTAAGTTGTGGGTTGTGGTGCTCAGGCCGACAAGCTCCCGTAGGAACGGTCAAAAAACGGCCGGCTGGCAGTTGAGCTTGAGTGCAGTCAATAAAGGCCATGTTCCTAGCACCCTTAGCCCTGAGCCTACAATGTATAGCTACTTCCCAAGAGCTCTCGATGAGTGAAAGCATTTGACCGAAGAAGCCGTTTCATGCTCGTCCGCATATTTATTCCTAAAACGCCGAGTTCATATTCTCCTTTGTATCTATTCAAGCCTTATTAGTCCGTAGATGATCTAGTTCATTTGATGTTCGTTCCTTTATGAGTCAGTTATGATTATACACATCATTATGTTCTCACTCTGAAATGATTGTCAAGTTTTTTCATACTTAATTTTCCATTTCTGTAATAGCCCTTTGTAAGAGCTGACCGTATCTGTAATTTAAATATTTATAAATAATAATTAAATATTCTTACTTGAAGGCTTTCGGGCGTTACTCACCCTGCCGTGCTCCAAGCCTCTGTCGCGGCACATTCGCAGGGGTCTTATCACCAGCCACCTTGCCATCCAGCGTGCCACCCGCCGTGCCACCCGCCATGCCAGCCGTGAAGAGGAATGGGAGCGGGGGCAGCGTAGTGCGCGTGGTGGGTGTGGTGGGCGTGATGGCTGCAAACGAGCGACGACACTTGTATAGTGGAGAGTAATGGGCCGCCCAATGAAAGAACTCTGGGCGATGACGAAGTGTCATTCGCACTCACGGGAATCAGGAACTTCGCCGTAGGCTCATGCAAGAGAATCGTGGTTGATAGACTCGTGCTGATTGTCACGCGAAATTCGGGTGAAAACAGAAATTAATAAATACTATTTTATCACTGGATGATGAATGAAGCGCGCAGAGTGTTTGCTTTCGAGGCATACTTTTTAATACAGCGCCCGGACAACTCTTCGATCTTTCTTTAGAGTATTTCTAATTCTCGCCGCCATAACGAGTCGCACGTTGACCGTGCACGACATGCACCGATTCGGCGTGTTTTTCGTCGCTGCTCCCTAGTGTCGCCTCGGTTCGCATAACTTTCACGTATTTCTTCACGAGTTTCACCGGGTTTCGGAACGCAGTTTCGCCACGGCGCATCGGAAGCAATGTGAATGAATGAAGGTTGGGTGTCCCCTGCAATTGTTTCACGTGCTTTACCTAAATTTTAAACGGTATACGTGCTCTTCAATGTAGCTCAATGGCCAGGCAGTGGCGTCACTAAAGCAGAGGCTGCGGGTTCGATCCGCGCACGGCGGAAGCGGGAGCGAAATGTGAAAAACCGACTATAGCTTGATTCACATGTGCGTTCAATACTTCTATGAGGGGAAAATCCGTGAGATTAACTTCACTACCTTGCGCACTATCTGGCGTGCAATAATTGCGTAGCTTTGGAACGAAACCAGCAGAAAACGTTTGTATACAGTTACAATGCTTTTTTTTTAAGTTGCTATGAGAACGTTTCAAAGCAAATCAATGCGTTTGCCGTAAGTTGTATGATATAACTGATAGAAGTACCTTAATGGCATTCAAACCGTTTCAGTATAAAAATAGAAACTAGAGTTTTTCCCTTTTTTTTTTTGCAGCGGCTTTGCGTTTCCGGTTGTCACATATACGTTACCGGGTTCCAGCTATTGAAATGACGAGGATGCTTGTTTACGTTGATGTTTCTTGAAGGGACTTCACCAACGTTTATTTTTTTTTAATTTAAGCTTCAATGTTGTTGAGCTGAGGCAAAGAGTGATGTAGTTTCACTTGCTTATTAGGTGAAGTAGTCAATGAAGTCGCCGCTGATTCACCCATATGCATCTGGTATATTCTATAAAAATCGGTATTGTTAGGTTAGTAATACTTTGACCGTTACGATTGCAAGTTTTCGATTAGACTCTCTCACCAGATATTCAGGGCTCCAAGATGGATCTTGTTTTCCTTATCGGCAATGCTTTATTCTGTAATCTAACACGATTACTGATTCACGTGCTTAATATATAGAATCATATTATCGTTATCAGCTCTTATCAGCGCCATGAGCAGTGAACAGGGGCTTTGTACTTGAATTGAACTGATGTAGCACGTATACGTAAACAAGAAATGACCGACCGACCGACCGACCGACACAACAGGACAGAGCGCTATACCAGTTTGGTCCTATTGTGTCAGTCTACTCACCCATTTTTCGTTTGCTGCAATGCGCTACAGCAGTACGGCAAACCAACTCGCCCAATCTTCAACACCAGTTAACAAGGGATACTAATGCTGGCCGATTCTGTGAACATGAGCACGACTTTTGCCGCTTCCGAGACCTGACCGGGGCTGTTTTACTCACCCGTATGCGACGGGAACCGGGATCACCCTTGGACCCAGGGCGGCGCCGATGATTGCGATCTTGGCCAATTTCTTCAGCTTCGTGGCATGTGCTTCTTGCAGTCACCAGCACTAGCACCAGCGCCACGCAGATGATAGAGAACGCGACTCGGCGACTGAACATCTTCAGTGAAGCGGGCTGAACTAAGCCTGCGGTGTAGACAACAACACGCAGGCGTGGTCACAACGGTGGCAGCTGCGCGTTTTGATGGTTCTGTGCCACGATAAACGTGTACATCTCACAGAATCTCTCAGGGGTTAGTGCAGATATTACGCATCACGCATGGACTCATGAACTTGCATAATATGTCTGCCAGTCTTGACACTTTTTTGTCACTCTTGTTATACATGATAACCGCACGTCTTGCTATTTCACAACTTCACAACTGCTGAAACACCTTCCTTGTGACTAATCATTGCTGGAGATTCACCTAAATTTTCCTCACATAAACAAAAAAAAGAAATAGAGGACGCAATATTGCACGGGCTGTTAGAAGCTATTACGCCGAGGAAGAAATAAAAAAAAACGTCTAAAGTTTCTTATGTGACGCTTTTTGTGTCACGTAACGTTTCATGACGTTATAAGGCGCCACTACTCGTTTCCCTATTGGGTATTCGTTGGCCAACTGCCAATGCCTGTGTTCACCTCCTGGGTGCCCTTGGGAAAGTAGTTCACGCCGCGTGCTACAACTGATGGTGCAGTTACGATCGATCTGCGGTTACAAGGTTATACAACGATTGCTATACGAGTGGCTCAAATGTGGGCTTTGGAAAGGCTTCATGTTTGACTTTCGTCTAGTTGAGACCCTAATTTTTGCAAACCGTGTCAAACGGTGTTCAATATCGCCTGAACGAGCCATTAGATAGCATTTGGAGTATTGTCCACGCTTAAGGAGAACACTCTGATGAGCACCTGCTATATTGCGGACTTCATAACTGCAAGTAGACGTAGAAACCTTGTTCTTCCGCAGGCACTAGTCTACCAAAAGAAGTCAGAACAGCCAACCAGCAGTACTCTTGTGCAAACCTAAGGCACTAAGCTTTCGCCAGAGAGTGAAATCTGGAGATGGCGCACGCGAAAGCGTTCCCTCTATCTGCGAACCTCGCTTTACATGCTAGGAACGTGCATTCGGCCTAGCAATTACGTGAAATTCGCGTACTGTGCAGACTGCCATGCCTCGCAACTCACCGTTCGAGGAGATGCGGCTGACGGGATCCTACACCGGCGTCCAGTGGCTGTGTGCGGAGTGTGTGCGTCGCTCGGCTCCCTATATCGGCGCCCAGCGGCGGAGAGGGATATCGCCGACCCGACATAGGGGCGGAAAATGAACCGATGCCTGCTTTTTTTTTCGATAATATACGCAAATTAGTTTCCAAACTGCATTTCACTTTCGGCAGCAGCCGAGCTCAACCGCCGTCCGTCTTCCGCAGGCATCGGCTCCCATTCCGCGGAAGAGACGCGGTTTTCTCGCAAGGGAGGAAGATTTTGCCGGTATCGCTGGGTCGCCCCTGCTTAAGATAAGGAAAAGAAGACCTCGACCGTGACGGACGAGCGGCTTGCGAAGTGCGACTGTCGGGGGCAGTTCCTCGTGACACGCCCTACGTGCTTCACCTTCGCACTTGCTGCGTACTCGCGTTTAAGAGCGGTAGGCGCCTTACATCACACCCCGGGTGCAATTGACATTTGGCTAGGCCTGGAGCCAGAAAAAAGAGCAACGCTTGATGTTGGCAGTTTGAAAGAATATGTGAACGGACAAATTGACATGTTTATTGAATAAATAAGCTTAGCACGATACATCAGCTCGGGAAACACTGCCATTTCTCGTTTACGCGCTGGGGAAATGCAAAACTGCTGCTATGGCCGTAACTTACCGAATCGTTTAAGTGAGGTTATCTATAATAGCCAGTTGCCTTAATTGCTGTTCCTCACTTGTTCAGCCACCATTGAAAAAATCTTTGAAGTTTCAACCCGAAAGTTATCGTGAATCATTTTCATTGTAGCGTGTGTATATTTAGAACTTTTAAGATTAAAAATATTTATGTGGTTGAAAATATTTGGTTATAATCGAAAACTGGTCAGAAAAGTGCTTCTTACGACGATAGCCAAAACACAGACGGCGGAAATCAGAAATGGTAATGTTAAATTGTAATGAGGGCAGTAGGTTGTTGAATAAACTAGAATAAGTGTAATATTATAAATATGAATAGTGCTGTATAAAAAACAGAAAAACAGTATATCCGGCTCGGCTACCCATTTGACAAAACTTCTTGCAGTTAAAAAAGTTTCCATTTCAAATGATCCAAGTCTATTATATAAGTCCATTACACGCAGTAAAGTGAGCTTTTGTGAAAAAAAAACAGCTTTGATAATTTTAGGAGAATGTCCATGTGATAAAACACATTCAGTACGCCTGAAAATTTATCGTAACGTTATGGTGGGCCCCCCTTGGAACGTTCACCTTCTTTTTTATGTGAACGAAAAAACATGATTTTTTCCTTCGTCTGTTTAGCGTCCCAGTTTGACCGAAGCGCAGCCTTCATGTAATGGTTCAGCATTAAGGTTTCAGTGGTGTGGCAACCATGTTCGATGCTTTCCTATTTCAAAACGTCCAGTATATCCCTGCTTTCATCAGTTACCACAGTTTATAGCTTTTCGAGGCTCAAACAAGGCAATAGATTCGCTCAAGTATACAACTTTATCAATATCAGTATGCTCGATCACTCCATAGTCCTCTAGTAGAACGTTTCACTCAATTCAAGAGCATAGGATGTTGGAAAACTTCTCCCCGGGATTTATACTTTATTACGACAAAGTTTTGTGATATATTATTTGCATGTACCGACGCATTTTTGATGAGTTGATACGCCCTGCTAAATGAGAAGCTTACGATTCCTGCTTTGAACACGCGCAGTAGGGCTCGAGTGTGAAAACTGCTCATAATTCGTGAAGAAATTAGGATTAAAACATACAGCTTTTTAATATATGGTAGTGAATAAGATGTGCCACAAAATGTAAATAAAAACAAAAACGCCATTGTTCATAACCTTCTTGAAGGACAGTGACACACCGTAAACGTAACTGGCAACAGGGAACACTGAGCTCTTAGGTAACATAAAAAAACATAACATTTGAGAGGTAAAAAAGCTAACTAGAGCACATCACTGAGGAATTGATAAGCTGTAACACGTGGAACGAGTTCGCAAGGCAGTGAGGAAGTTCAAGTGGGAGACTGCCGAGTTAAACCTTAAAAGATCAGCTAACACATTCCCATCACGGTCGATAGAAATGTGCACGTTTTGTTTAAGCAGCTGAGGCTCACAAACAGCGTTGTTTTAGGCATTCAAGAAAATACATTAGTCACACGCAGTGGTAGCGGCATTACAAAGAGCGGTCATTTCGATATTGTTAGTTTTCATTAGTGACATAGTAAAGCACGATATGTTTATGAGGGATGCCAACGGTGGAGGGCTCCATAAATTTCGACTATCTGGTGTTGTTTAAGCGTGCACTAACACCACACGGTACACAGGCCTCTACCCTTTAGCCTCCACCGAAATGTGACCATTATGGCCGGTATCGAAACAGCGACTTTTGGCTCTAATAATGATCGAATAATGAGAAGTAAGTTTCCGCCGACCACTAAATGCTAACGCAGTACCATGAAAATATCTGTTCCCATGTTTCCTGAATCGAACGATCAGAAGCAGAATGTTTGTAAATATAATTAGCAATCGTTATAACAAAAAATAAAACAAGCTAAACTACGGTGGCAAGTCTCAAGGCAGGAGAACGCGTCCGCAGGCCAGAAGAGAAGGCTGGCAGAAGTTTTTGTCAGGGATCCATTCATACACACAGGAGGCTAAAATCTGGAACATGGTTAGTAGGGTAGCAGGAAAACAAGTACGCACAATTCCACTCGTAAACACACAGGGCTATACCTTGGAAGATCAGGCGAACTTCCTTGGTGCACACTTCGAACGGGTGTCCAGCTCGTCACACTATACTGACGCTTTCCAAAAATACAGAACAAGAATAGAAATGCAGAAACTCGAACACAAATGCACTAGAGACGCGGCATATAACCCAGCTTTCAGTTAAGCTGAGCTCCAAACATCGCTAAACTCCTGCACTACTTCTACCCCAGGTTCTGCACCAGTGTGATGTATGAAATGTTAAAGAACCTACCAATCGAAACACAAAAAACCTTACTTTGTTTGTGCAACGCTATCTGGTTTTCTGGTGATATCCCTACTTCCTGGAAAGAGGCTATTATTATTCCCATTTTGAAAGAGGGCTAGGACCCTTCTTTTGCTTCCAGGTATAGGCCTATTGCACTTACAAGCTGCTTGTGCAAAGTTTTTGAAAAAATGATAAACTACCGACTTGTACATTTCCTTGAAACAAACATTTTGCTCGACCCATTTCAGTGCGGGTTTCGAGAGAGTATATCCACCACAGACCACCTTGTTCGTATCGAGGTGCCGATCAGAGACGCTTTCGTCCATAAACAATATTTTCTCTCTGTGTTCCTCGATGTCGAAAAGGCTTACGATACAACATGGCGCTTAGGAATATTAAGAGACCTGTCCCCCCTTGGCGTGCTCGAAAGAATGTTTAACATAATTGAAAGTTACTTGTCAAATCGGACATTCAGAGTTCGAGTAGGCAAAATTCTTGCGCAAACATTTGTCCAAGAAACAGGCGTGCCGCAAGGTGGTGTACTTAGTTGCACACTTTTTATCATCAAAATAAATTATTTGCGCTTGTCTATCTCTTGAAATCTCTTTTACTCCACATATGCCGATGACGTCCAGTCCGGTTTTAAGTCTTGTAATCTGGCCATGTGTTAGCGACAGGTTCAGCTCTGTCTGAACAAAGTGTCTAGTTGGGCTGAAGAAAACGAGTTCCGACTGAATGCACAGAAAAGCATGTGTGTCTTGCTCTCCAAGAAAGAGGCATTCATTCCGAACCCGATATTCAACCGCATGGGCAACGTCTTTCCGTTAATACCGAACACAAATGCTTAGGCCTAATCTTAACACCAAGCTGTCGTTCATACCACAAATCAAATATTTAAAAAACAAGTGCATAAAAGCTATGAACGTTCTAAAAGTGTTGTCACGATTACGTGGGGAAGTGACAAGAAGTGTTTATTGAATTTGTATAAAAGCCTCGTACGTACCCGCCTAGACTATGGGGCAACGGCATATCAGTCTGCGACACCTACTGCCCTTAAAATGCTTGACCCTGTTTATCATCCAGGCATCCGCCTTTCTACGGGTGCTTTTCGCGCTAGCCCCGTAGAGATCCTGTACGTGGAATCGACCGAATGGTCGCTCCACCTACAGAGATGTTATATGTCTTTTAAATATTATTTTATTGTACACGCAGACAAGGATCACCCTTCACATTCTACAATTAATGACATGTCAACTCTTGCTGTGTTTTAAAAACGGCCTTCCATGAGACAGCCCTACTCACTCCGTGTGAGGGGCCTAGCGAAGGAAAGCGGTGTGCCACTCGAACACTGTCTGATGGCTCCCGTAGTATGCCTGCCACCGTGGCAGTGGCAGGCGATAGATTGCGACGTGTCTTTCTTAGAGGTTACGAAGCATGCACCAATTGCGCACATCCAGACATACTTTCTTGAACTACAACGTAAATACACATATCCTGAGTTCTTTACGGATGCTTCAAAATCTAATACTTCTTTCTGTCTCGTATGCAGCCGTCGGCCCATCCTTTTCGGAAGCCGGCGTTCTGCACAGAGATACAAGCATTTTTACCGGCGAAGCCTGTGCGATACTTGCGGCTGCTAAACATATTAAACAAACAAAACTACAGAAGGCAATAATATATACAGATGTCCTAAGTGTACTAAAGGCTCTGAAAACACCTAAAAAGCACAAAAACCCTGTCCATGTCTCGCTTTATTCGCTTTTATGCACAGTCTACTCATCCAAGCAGCATGTCGTAGTCTGCTGGGTGCCAGGACAACGCGAAATAGAAGGCAATGTTCTGGTGGACCAGCTAGCTTGATCCGCCAACAAAACCGCTATCAACACTTTGATATCAATTCCTGCATTCGACTTGAAAGCTGTTCTAAAGTGAAAGATCAGGCGTTATTGGCAGAGCACATGGGACACACACACAGATAATAAATTGCAGGTCATCAAGCCGCAACTTGGTCATTGGTCGCCAGCATCAAAATCACGCCTCACTGAAGTAATCCTTACAAGGATAAGAACAGTACATACAAACACTACACATTTATTTCTTTTGTCTTGGGGCGATCCACCTTTGCGTGACAGATCTGGAGAAGCACTCACCGTACTTCACACTCTAATACAGTGCAAAAAATTAGACAAGCTAAGAAGACAACACTTTCCATTACCCTACCGACAACAGATACCCCTACATCCTGCAATGTTTGTCGGTAGGGAACCACTTTTCACAC